GGGGGGCCAAAAAGAAAAACAACACTCACCACACAGCAACAGGCACAGCGTTGCATTATGCTTAGTTGCCGACAAGGATCCGCAGACTCGCTTCTTCAGATCTCGCTTCTTCAGGGTGGCAAAGCTGTTCTTAACTTGCGATGGTCATGGCTCTCGGAAAGCGGTCCTCTTGTCCCGAAGAGAATAAAACAGAGGTCATATGAGGCGCGAGGAGACGCTCTAACTGTGCTGGCGCGCACTAGGACTGTCCGGGCTGAAAGTCCGTAGCCGTTCTCCTTGGAATCTTGAGATCCAGTCTATATGCATCGGTGGACCTCCCATGTTTTCGGGATTCGGATCCAGGGCATGGCTAGACAGCAATCTATGGAGCAACAATGTCAGGATATACCAAGAAGATGGGCAGCATAGAGCAAGGAGACAGGCCGCATTCCGGGGTGGATTCACTGCTTCCACGAGGTCACGCCCCTGCAACAGGATGGAGAAGCTGTTTCTCGAGAGGTGAGCTCGCATATTATTGTCGCCCGATAAGCCATGACTGAGCGACGGAGTACTCCGACCCTAGCGAGATAATCCAGCGTCAACCTGGTCAGATCACTATCTCTCGAGAGGGGCGTTTGTAGCATCTTAAATTGGGCCTGTATCCGAGAGGCGTCCAGCCTCTCTCCCCAGCCAGTCGAAAAACAATGGGACATCAGGGGGTTATTATTCAACGTGGCTGTTCTGTCCCTTTCTTGGCAGTCAGTGGAGTGACGAAGAAGGCAAAGAGGTTGAGGCTCCTGGAGTCTATGGAGTAAGTATGTATAATCATTTCTGTTCATCTGCTGATCGGATTTGCAGGTGTAACGTGGTTTCATCTCGGTGATGTATGAACGCTTTTACTCCGCTCGCTGCTCTAGCATGGAGGTGTGTGCGCCGCTTTTTCGTTCTTCGGCGGTTCATCATCAGGCTAATGCCTGAGAACCACCTGGGCGGCCGGGATGATGATACGTACCGTCGCCATGCTCCAAACACCGAGCTAACCTGATAGATAGCCATCAAGGTGCCATTTCAAGCCAGCTCGTGTGCTTACCGTGACCAACAAGTATGCATAAAACGCAAGATAAACGACTAGAAAACGGAGCATTTGGGCATAAAAGTCCTGCTGTTAGGTGACGAATTGGGCCCACGGCACATTATTATGTATCAGAAAAAGCCTGCATCAGAGTTTATGCGAGACGTTCAGTGCTATGATGCCACAGCGAACCTTCGGAGGTCAGGAGAAGATCCTGTTCATCCGCAAGTGGATGGCGACGATCCGGTGTTAGTTACGGAGTGTCCGTACTCTGTACATAATCTTGGTCGCCGTTTCTCGCCCTCTTTCGAGAAGAAGGCAAACTAATAATATCTGGCAACCAATTTGACGTTGGTAGTGCGATTTGCTCAGGTGTGCGTCCCGTCCCACGTTGCACCGTATGTGTTAATATGTGCCGTGCTAAGGCGCACTAACTGGGCAGCCTTTTGGTACATCCAAACGCCTTGAGATTTTCTGTAGATTAGTGTCATAACTACCGGCCGGGTTAATTTCCCATCGCGGGCTAATTCCACCAGCCACCTCACATTCCTCGGCTACCTAAAAGCTTGTGAATGCCAATTCTGATCACCAAATGGTGACTTTTTTTTTTTGTCCTATAATAGATGCGATATCGCTTTATTAATTCAGGTATTGGTACAAGTATCATTCCAGAACGGATAGATATAAACTATGCATGTGTACGGAGTACTCCATAATACAACAGACATGTCCAAGAAGAAAGAAAGGCAAAAAAGAAATGGTATCAACGAAGAAGAATTCGAAATGCTCAGAGACCTCCGCTCGTACTCCGTATATAGTGGGGGAAACATGCAAAAAGCTCGAACTAGGGCGGGTGAAGAGGGGGAAACCGACAAGCATGTCAAAAAGAAATCATAATATAAAGATAATAATGGAATGGGTATCATGGATTAACCACTCTAAGGACCAAAACGGTAGGTAAAAGAGCAAAAAAAAAAAGGTGGCAGGTCAAGTTGGGCGGTTTGGGCCAAGTCGACTTCCAAGACTGGCTGTTAAGTCGAGCCATAATCTCGTAGTCGTCGTAGCCACGTTTCCATGGTCGATATCGTATAGTTGATATTCTCTGCCGTCTCGACGCCCTTGACAAAGCCACCAGGTAATTATAAGATAAGAATAGAAGGTAGAAGGAAAAGGGGGAAATGCTCCTCTCTCTTTTTGTTTTTGGTGAACATCAACGTCATGCCTCATTTAAAGAACCCGTAAGAAAGTAAACTACCAGACTTCACGGACATTCTCTACACGCTGCTGCTCTTCATCGTGTAAACTGCCTCTATCCTCATGCATGATCTCGACGGAGTTGGAGATCATAATGCCTCTGGCTGGTAGGGGTTCCTGGGGTTCGTTGTCTATTGAGTTGAAGGTCTTGAGGTCCTGCATCTTGACGTCGTCGTGCATTATACGTTCATCGCTGCCATTGAGGGTGAAGCTGGTCGTGATGTCACTCTGGGGCTGTCGACGGCCCTTACTCCGGTTATTGTTGTTGTTGTTGTAGGACGAGTTGCCTCCGTGGGGGGTGCCGCCGATGGTCTGGAGCCCCGGGGTTTTGTAGCTGGATTTCTTCTGGGTTGAAAAGAGCTTGGAAAACCATGGAGAGAGCATAGCACGGATAAGAGGGAAGATCATGGGCAAGTTGGTCACCATGACAGCGACGAAGGCCTCTCGTACTCCCCATGCGCCAGCAAGTTGTGCGCCATGCACAGGGTTCTTACCTTGTTAGTACACTTGTGTAATAAATTTTGTATATATATAGGGGTATATATCCAGTAAGTACTTACTACAAGAACGAAGATGCTCTTAAGACATGCGCAGACAAGGACAAAGATACCTGCACCGAGCACAATGCTGGCTGCTATCTTCTTGATCGTCCGCAGGGTTGAGCGCCACAGCATGGGTAGGGGAATCAGTATCAGATAGATGTCAGTAATAATGTTGGCGGCGAACGAGACCCAGACAACCGGCTTGGATACCGCAGGCTGGCATGCATCTAAAGACCGGCATTAGCTATATATGTATATGCATAATAGCAAGGTAGTAATGGAGCAAAATAACGCACTGCCTGGGTTTGGATATATCTGCCAGTACTTGTGGAGGGGCCTGCAGGAGAGGAAGATGGTGAGCAGCGAGGCCATACAGGTGCCCGCGACGAGGCCAAAGCCGATGAAAATCTGCATGCGGTACGTTCCACCAACGCCCTCGGTCAGCCTGATATAGAACGCCAGCATCGAGAACTTGAGCATCGAGATGAGCCAGGTGTACGTCGTCCAGCCGGCCAGCTGAATCTTCGACCCGGTGACCCTACATTAGTTACTCGCCCGTCAGTCCCCCTGTCTGTCTGTCTGTCTGCCTGTCTTGTGTCTCTCCGCCGTTCCACTTCCAATCAAAACCGACTCACCTGAATTCGTACTCGATGCTGTTGACCGGCAGGGCAGCCCGCTCCGAGTCCAGCTTGAAGTTGTTGGCCAGGCCGTGGGCCTTGGTGCCGACATGGTAGCCCAGCGTCGACTGTGCTGCATACAAGACCTGCAGGAGAGCAACATGGATGGTCAGCGCTTCTTTTGTTCCTGCTATCGACCGGGGACGGACGTCACCCCGTCACCACCACGCAGACAGCCACAAAACAGACGGCCGCCAGCCTCAACTAACCAAAGCTACAAGCACCAGAAAGTCGTCTGGCCGCAGGTTCCTGACGCCGACGGCGTGTATGCGTGCATAGATCCTCAGCATCGTCGCCGTGAAGCCGATGGCGAAGAGCGTCCATATCTCGATCGTGGCCTTGCGACCAGCTTCCTGGGCCGCAGCCACCTCGGCCGGGCTGGTTGGCAACATGATATAATTATTCGATATATATAAATATACTATAGCAGAGCGGAACGGGGGTGGTCGGACAGGCGCAAAAGTGATAGATCGAGGCAGTCTCCCAATTCAATGGCTATGCATCGTCGGGAGCAGGTTGTTCAAAAGGGTCGAGATTCTGTCCAGGGGAAGGGATTGAGATGCAGGCATAAGGACGAGGAGGGCGAGTACAGGATGCCAGGCATCAAACCAGGCAAGCAATGCAAGCAAGCAAGCAGAATCGACCACCATGCCACGGAAGAGAACGAGGGACCTGAGTTTTATGAGACGCAGACAGAGAACGTATTCTGGCTGCATCCGGGATCCCCTGCCGTCTGATCGCCCGAGCCCTGGTTGCATTCTAAGTACGTGAACTGCCAGAGAGGCCGAGGGATACGAGCTCGAAATCTACAAACACCACCAGCAGAACTAGTAGTTGGTGCGACCTGACAGCCACGGACGGTCCTGAAGGCAAAACATGACGGAGCCCATGGCAAAAAGGAAAAAAACAAACGGCCAGTCTGGGCTGTGGCCAATAAGTATGGACCCTGAGACCGAATAGATGGGCCGTCCAGTTCTGCCCATCTCTGGGGGTTCCATCAACCATTTCGTGGTACAGCGTGAACCCTCCCAGAGTATCATTATTATTATACCTCGAGAGTGGAGATGGACCCTTCTTTTGGATTTCCAAATGGCCCATTTTTCGAAATCCAGGGGTACAGGGGTCCGGGATGATGGTATTTTATCAGTCTCTCCCCCCTGAACCCCCGGTCTATATTTGACGATACTAACCTCTTTGCCGCGCTGCCATGCCGCCTTGCTCTCTGGTCTGCACCACGCTAGCTTCGGAGTACGGTGTGAAAATAGTCTGCAGGGCCCGCAATATTGCTTATTCTTTTCGGCTCATCATCTTCTTTTTCTGTTCTTGCCTGCCGATCTTAAGGATGTGGTGCTGGCGTCTCCTCTGGCTTTGGCTTGGGGTTTTTAACCTCTCATTTCCTGCATAACATTGCATCAACATCTTTCCTTCCCCCCATTCCCTTTCATCCGCCCAGCCCACCCCTTACGACCATTAAAGATGCAAGGGCTTCTTAAGGGGATCATCATAGCACTGGCTGCGTGGGCTAACTGCTCAGCCGCCAGAAGCATCCAGCAGCAACAGCCTTCAACTAGCGATGTTACGCCTGTGAATATATGCCCCAGAGCAATGGATAATTGGGTAGACGATATCAAAACGGAACTCGTCCCGAAGCTGTCGCCAGAGGCGAAGGTCTATCTCCCTGGCTCTGGCGACTTTGACACTGCCACAGCTCGCTGGTCTGCCCTTGGAGCACCTGTCGTTAACGCTGCCATTTCGGCAGCCGTTGCTCAAGATGTCGTTGAAACGGTAGGCTCAATTTATCTTCCTTTTCTCCTCTCGGAAATTTCATTTATGCGATAAGCATACGGACTACTCACAGGGAGACAGGTCAAATTCGCAAATAGGAAGGGTGTTAAGTTCCTAGCTTACAACTCTGCCCATGGCGCCCTCACCTCCTTGGGCAAGGTAGACAGTGGCATCGAGATATTCATGAAACAGCTCAACAGTGTCGAAATCGCCCAGGATGGTAAATCAGTCAAGGTTGGAGGTGGAATAAACTCCAAATACCTCGTCGACACTCTCTGGGATGCTAAGAAACAGGCCGGTTAGTCCCTTTTTTTTTTTCATTTACTTAGTTATTACATCTATTTTTATGACCTATTTGATTACTGACTCGCGTTTTAGTAACCGGAACCTGCGAATGTGTCAGCTATCTCGGACCAGCTCTTGGGGGCGGCCACGGCTGGCTCCAGGGTCACCATGGTCTCATTGCCGACCAGTTCCTATCGATGGACGTTGTTCTTGCTGATGGCACCCTCAAGACCATCGACAGTAACTCCGATCTCTTCTGGGCGATGAACGGTGCCGGCCATAACTTTGGCATTGTCACCTCCGTCACTCTCAAGATCTACGATATCGAACACACAGACTGGGCTATCGAGACCCTGACTTTCTCTGGTGATAAGGTCGTGCCTGTCTATACGGCTGCCAACAACCTCTTGAAAAATCAGCCAGAAGGTGTAATCCACTGGTCGTACTGGCTCAACAACCCCAGTGCCGATGCTAACAATGTCAGTTTTCTTTTTAATAATATTTACAGGCGTATATATTTCCCATTGCTGATATCAATATCCTCTAGCCCGTTATAATTGTCTACCTGATCCAAGAGGGTGTCAAACAAGTCGATCCGGCCATCACCGGCCCATTCCATGACATTGGTGCCCTCAGCGTTCAGCCCGATTCGGGTACCTACAAGGACTTAGGCAGATGGACTGGCATCGCCCTTGACTCACCACCATGCCAGAAGACCGGTGCCTCCAACCCTCGCTTCCCTATCTACCTAGAGTCCTTCAATGTACCGGCCATGCAACAAGCTTACAAGCTGTATGCCTCTCAGGCCAATGTCTCTGGACCATTCCACAACTCCATCTTCATGTTCGAAGGGTACTCTACCCAGGGTGTCAAGGCCGTCGACCCCAAGAGCGCCGCGTACGCCTTTAGGTCAGACAACTTCCTTGCCGCTCCGCTCATCAGCTACGAATCCACCGGCTCTGATCTCGACCAGAAGGCCATTGATCTTGGCCAACAGCTGCGTCAGATCCTTCTCAAGGGCAGCGGTCGCTCGGAGCTCCACACATATGTCAACTACGCTTTTGGTACCGAGACTCCTCAACAATGCTACGGCTACGAGCAATGGCGTCAGGACAAGCTCAAGGCGCTGAAGCAGAAGTATGACCCCGATGGGAAATTCAGCTTCTATGCGCCGATTGTATGAACGACGAATGAATGATATATATATATACATACATTCTCTGTAGATAATAGACATGCATGCATACGGACATGTATACATATATACTAACTTACATAGAAACCCGTGGCATCCAGCGTTCATATGCCATAATTTTAATGTACAGGGATGAATTTGACAGAGCCAAGAATGCTACCTTTCAATATACTAGTGACTTGATAATAATAATAATTGTGACGTGACTTGCCAACTGCAGTCCCCCTTATATGTATGCATACCCAACCTCAATAGCATAATCATGAGATCTAGTCCATGCCCCTGTGTTGATTATCCCGGGGATTGGCCAATGCGGAGGTTCCAGAAAGCGTTCGTCCATGCATCCTGCGCTGATACCACGATACCTCAGACCCATCCGTAATAAAGCCAGGAAATGCTCCACGCACATCGAATGAAGTGCTTAAAAGTCCGAACAAGTTCATGAGACAGACGCCAAATTTCCTGCACAGGCGGCATTGTCGGCACACCGGCCATGGCATGATCCATGGCCCCATACTCTCAATACCCCTTTTGTGCAGGACCTCATCCCTATTATGGACAAAGACCGATTATCAACACCACCGAGAATATCCAGGCCAGAGGCAATTAGAGACAAATCTGGTCGACGACGTATCCTCTTCCAACACGGTCGTAATCTTGGTCTGAAGAGGAACCCAGAGGCACGTTTGGGGTTTGGGGTATGCTCACGAGAACAGGCCGCCACCCTTGTTTCAGGGAATGAAACTGTTCAGTTACAAGTCAAGCTAGAGGGGCCATGTTTGAAAAATTGTCGGCCAGGGCGTTGATATCGTCAAGGAAGCAAAGATATAGACAAGGACATTTTCTTGGGTTGTGTTTGGCAACGTTCCAATGCAGTGCAGCGCTTGTGTGGGTGGAGTAATGGGTGCATACTACTTATACTCTGTAGTGTACCCTCCTAGAAAGGATAAATAAGATGGAGGTGAAATTCCACTCAACCGAATAGCTAACTAATGTAACATTCCAGAAGCTGGAGCATTAACCATTTAGCCGGCCGTCACCTACCCGCGGCTAAGCTAGGCGATGGTAAGTTGGATAAATGTCCTTGGTCAATACCCCAGCTGCATGGCAGGCTTTTCCTTGCTTCCCATCATCAACTTTGCCCTCACAACAATTTCAATACCCGGGAGAGATGAATATGGTTGCGGGATTCTGAATGGCTGTCAATTCAGATATGAATTGACGCGTAAGCGCTTTATTCGATGCAGTTGAAGGTCTTGTATGGGAAAATGTTCCGCGGAGCCGTAGAATTGCTCGATATTCCCACTCCTGAGAAGATCTGGGGCAGACTCGCGGAGAACAAGACTGAATTGGAATGGGGCTTGGCTATTGAGATACGCAATGGGAATAGGTGATGAAAATCTCAATAGAAGGCGCAGTATTATAAGGGTGATACCCCCATATTCAAACATGAATCTGCTATGAGAGCCATATTTCGCCTACCACATGGGATGCTGGTTTTATAGAGAGGTTGCATATCATGTCTGCACATGGCGAAGACCATAAAACAATCATATGCTTCATTTTCTAAGAATGTTGAGTCAACATGTTCATTTTGATGGCCTGGTCCTTGGAGATTAATCGATTGACAGGGAACGATCCTATTATCACAATCTGAAGGGTCGATCCCATGTTTCCGGTTAATTGCAGGCTGAGGTCGATTGGGAAAAACCAACCGACTGAGTTGTTGATATTGGAAGGGACCTTGCTGCTGATATGAAGACTTCGAATATAACGCTGATCATATCTATTTATTCTATCTATCTAATATTCTATTAGCCAATGCGGATAATTAGATAATTATACTATACATGTGGAGCAGCTATGGTAGAGCTATAGGAGTCACAGAAGAGCGGCTTTCTCGTAGGGAAAGACCATCTATAAACTGTTGACCACTAGATGACGTACTATGGACTTATCAGCATACGTAAATTGTTAGATCTGGGGCTAAATACTCACTGGGATAAAGATGTAGGGAACAGCCTTCTCGTACTGCTTCCAAGCCTCGCCGTACTTCCGTCGACATCTATCAATGTCCCTCCGAGTGCGGTGAATGATCATGATCATGAAGAAGACGAAGTAAAACCAAGGGAAGGGGCTCCTGAAATACTCGTTAGCCATGGTCCTAGGTAAAAATATGGTTTATGACTTACTTGAAGCCGGTGAGTAGACCCCAGGTGAAGGAGAAGAACATGTCTGGGACGTAGTTCGGCTTGCGGATGATCCCAAACCAGCCATCGATAAGCAGATGGTCGCCTACGTCTGTCTTGATGGTTTTGGGATTCTCGATGGCTTGCCAGGGCACTTGCGGGAAAGTATTGCGTTTGATGAGCTGGCCCTTTTCCTTGTGACGGAATGCGTTCTTCTGGCCGTTGGCGCTGTCCCACATCCAGTACATGAAGAGATAGACGACACCGAGAGCAGAGAGGGCAATGGGGTTCCAGCGGTACTCTGACGGGTGGTTTTTGGCCATGTATAAGGCACAATGGCAGTAGGTGAATGGTACACCGGCCATGTTCCAGAAGGTAAGCATCCAGCCGAGCTTCTCAAAGTACATGTCCCTGGGTTCGAGGTTAGTATACAAAAGGTCGGATTAATCGTTAAACTCGACGATCTCACCAGCTAGTAATAATCATCTGCTCTGCTTTGGCGCATGCATTGGCATAGAGATAGTGGGCAACAGCCAAAAAGATGACTTCAGGTGCAACGTAGCCGTATGTCTCATATTGACGAGTAGCGACGGAACAGGTGATAAGGAACAGGATAAACCACGGAATCCTAACCTCGTAAAACATCTTAAAGTCCAGGATCCCAATACGGGGGTTCAGTTCAGCACCCATAAAGAAATCATAGACGGGATATCCAGAGAGACGGTGGGTTCGGCCTCGCACCAGCGCCTGAACGTAGACAATAACACTATTGATGAAGCCAAACAAGATGGCAACGGTCATGATAGAGCCGAACTCATCGATCAGCGTGTATAACGGGAATAGGCCGGTGACATGCAAGACTGCAGCAATAGCCAAAGTCGCGTAGAACGAGCAATACGCAGAGCAGTAGTAAGGCAGCCTGCGACCCCCTTCGTGCCTGAGCGGTCGTCCATGGCTCGACACGCCCGGCATGTAGCAGTACATCAGGGCTTCAGCAACGAAGAACACCCAGTAGATAGCCCATGCCTTGGCCGTGGGATAGCCGCCCTCGTACACCAGATGGGCGAGATGGAGGGCAAAGTCCGTCCAGCTCTGGCCGGCGGCAGGCCAGGGGAATGCGCCGTCATAGTATGTTGCGCCAATCCACATATACCACATTATCAGCGGGGACCCGAGCATGACGCCCATAGCTCCGAGCGAGCCGCCAAACTCGAATTCATCCGAGGCGCCGTCGGTGAAATTGGTCGACGTTGACCCTGATGCTGCGGGCTGCTCGACCCCCCTTGGGCCCCTTCGCTGGCTGGCACCCATGACGGCTGATATTGAGCAGCGAAGACCAGACTAGATGCAATTAATCGGTCAATTAATCAGTTAATCAATTGATGCATCAAAATCCACACGGTCGAGGAAATTAAAATAAAAAAAAAAAATTAAATAAATAAAATAAAAAATCAATTAATCATGAGAAACTCGACGGCGGAAGAAGTTTTCAGCTTGCTTATCCACCGTCCCGCGCTTTATAAACAGCCTAGCAAGGGAGCAGGAAATCCCGGGAGCCGAGGGCCAATAAGCCAACGGTTATTAACTGCTATGGAGTCCACAATAACTAATAACATCTAATGGACCGTACGATTTATTGCGCCCCGGATGAAGCATTACCGCAAAGAGCACTCTGAGCAGTGTCTGGATATTGATAGCTGCTCATGCTGATGCCTCCCAAGTCGGTGGCTGGCTAACCATTAACTAGTTCAGGGGCTTCGGCTTCTGGCGTGCTAATATCCAAAACCCGGTCTGGACAAGGAGATTAAGAGAAGAACCGGAGAAATAAGACGGCATCGATGACGGAGAATGTCATGTCAATTCCAGCAGGGCAACAGGCAAACAGGTGTTTATCCAGCCTGCTGGACAGGTTAATGATAATAATATTAAGACGCCATGGCATTGCATCTCGCCGCCAGCCATCGCAGGGGCGCGAAATAAGCCTGAAGCCAGCCGGCTTGGCTGCGGCATCTTCGAGATGATTCAATGCGAGGCGAACATGCTGAAGTCATAGGCTTGTCGACTACCATTGACTTAGTCTCTTCTTTTCTCTCATCAGGCTGGTTGTGGCCGTGTGAAGGCGATATCAAGCCCGGCGTCTCGCCCCATCGCCGGGCATCAACAAACTCACCATGGCCGTCCCCGCAGATATCCTGTGACCAGCAGGTGAATACGACATATGGATTGGATTCTGGGACTAATACGAACGGCCTGCCCCGTCCAAGATAACCTAGCATGATTTGGCTCTCCGTCCAGGGTTGCAGCCTGCACCCCGGACTCCTGCATGATGAAACAGCGGGGAACATGCCAGAGTTGATGTGCTATTCTGGTCCAGGGGAAGAGAAGACGGGCCGTCAGGTGTGCCTCTGATCATGATCTACTCTCTGATCGACTGGAATAATGCGAAGAAAATGTACGCTTCGAGATGGCGGCTATGGTGTTGATCTACCGGCGACGATCGAGCATCGGTCAATATCAAGTTATATAAAAAGGGGGCTCTCTCGACATTCATCTTGCGCCCTCTGCTTTTCAGCCTGACTTGATACCGTTCCTCTTCGTCTACGGCTTGCTACGACGTGCTTGAGAGGCATGGTATCAAGCTCCACAAGCCCTGGGTAGCCGAGTCAGCTGGGTGCTCGAGATAGCAGGGCCTCCATCCCACGGCCTATAGCTATCCAGCAGCAGGTCTCCTCTCTCTCTCTCTGCCTCCGCCCCGGCCTCTAATATCCGGCTTGTTCTTTTTTTTTTGGGGGGGGACCCATTTGACAATTGACCTATGACATATGACATTTGATATTTGACATTCGAGTCACTCGAAGCTTTACAGGCCTTCTTTTCACCGCTTGGTACTATGGATGTTTCTTCATAAGTGCCCTTCTTGTTTTCGTTTCTTTTCTTTTTCTTTTCTTTCCTGTTTCTTCCTGCTCTTTAGCTGGTTATCTCGAGCGCCGGGGACGGCTACGGTCGGTTTCATCCTTTGCCCCTTAGCTAACTGGATTGCGGAGGAGATACCAGCCATGGTTTGGCGACTGATATACCCTTCCCCAGTGACGGTTCGCAGCCGGGGAGCCAAGGCTTCATGCGAGATGTTAGCTCACTGAACCCGCATATTCCCCAAGGCGACTTTCGTATGGACAAATTTCCGCCATGCGGAGCGATGACCTGCTTGGTCGAGAGGGCTTGAGCTCAGAGAGAGGAGTATATAAGGAATGATCGTCCATGGCTGTCGAGCTGGATTTCTCTTCTTTCTCTTTGCCAGAAACCAGAGAAGACCAGACCAGAACAAGCCAGAAAGTCATTGAGATATATCCCTATCCTCACAAAAAAAAAAAAAAAAACATCCTTTCAACATGCGTTTCTCCGTCCTCCTCACCGGCCTTGCTGCCGCTGGCTCCATTGCCACTGCTGAGCGAACTTGCGGTGCTGTTCCTCCTCGTGCCTATGAGAAGGAATTCACCGAGGCTCTCAACTCCCTCAGCCCCGAGGCCGCCAGCGCTGACCTGACTGCCGGCATCACCATTGACACCTACCTCCATGTCCTCACCAGCGGCCAGACCGGAAACATCCCCGTATGTCACTCCCACTCCCTGTCTGGGTCAAGAAGAAACGTCGCTCTGGGTTGGTTGCTAACGAATGCTACAGGACTCCCAGCTCCAGGCCCAGATCAACGCCATGAACCAGCACTACAGCCAAGCTGGCGTGCAGTTCAAATTGGTCAAGGCCACCCGCACCGACAACGCCAACTGGGCCAGCGGCAGAGACGAGGCTGGCATGAAGAAGGCCCTGCACATGGGCACCTACTCCTCTCTCAACATCTACTTCATCCCCAACCTCAGCAGCGGTCTCTTGGGAGTAAGTCTTTGTCCTATCGACTCTCGTATCAAGAGTATTATGGTGACTGACAAATACTAGATCTGCTACTTCCCACGCGCCAACCCAAGCCAGACCACCATCATCATGGATGGCTGCATGGTCCGCTCCGGCACCGTCCCCGGTGGTGAGACCACCAACTACAACCAGGGCAAGACTGCCACCCACGAAGTCGGCCACTTCTTGGGTATGTTACTACACCTATCCTATCACTGAGTATAAAGATGTATGGCTGACGTCTGCAGGTCTCTACCACGTCTTCAGCGAGAACGGCTCTTGCGTTGATGCCGACATGGTTGCCGACACTCCCGCCCAGTCCAAGAAGACCAGCGGCTGCCCAAGCTCTCAGGACTCTTGCCCTGGCGGCGGTGTTGACTCTATCCACAACTATATGGACTACAGCTACGAGTACGTTCCCCCCTCTTTCTTTTATAGTGAGCGAAAACAGAATAATGTACTGACTAGTATTCTCTAGTGTCTGCATGAACCAGTTCACTCCCGGCCAGGCCAACCGCATTGCCCAGTCTTGGAGAGCCTTCCGTGCCGGCCACTAAATTACTCGCAATCGAGTGACCGGCAAGTATCTCTGCGGATGATATGAGATAGGGTTATCATCCGGAGAACAACGGCAACGAACGAATGACGAATGGCTTGGTTCGGTCTGCGGTCGACCTGGCTCAATGAATACTCTTCACTTGTTATATATATATGTGTATATATATACCACCGTACATAGCTCCCGCACCTGCACATATGAACATACGCAATGTAAATACATACTTACATGAATATTCTCTATTGTCTTTCAGAGTTAATCTCTAAGCGCCGTACTTGACCCTTGACATGCGGTTGGGCTGTGTATATGCATGAACATTCGTGAATGAGCAGGGTATTTCCACCTATATTTAGTGGTGTATTTCAGTTCTGGCCGGCTCTACCATGCTGATGCCAGATGATGCTCAATAATCATCTCCTCAGTCGCCCGTTACCCATGCAGTTATATGTATATAGCATTTGAGTCGGGTCCAGGATATCCTCGAGTGGGATGTATGAAGTAGAGACAGGAACAGCCCAGGGTAGTTATCCAGCAACGCAAGCTAAGCGCTGGAACTGCAGCTGATCATCAATTGACCGTCAGCAGATACTTGTTGACTGGTTGAGAGGGAGACAGTTGGTTACACGCTGATCCGAGCGTTGCTAACCAGTCAACGGCTGCTCTGCAGGTGTAACCACCGCCAAGCAGAATCAACGAGCCATCGAGAGCCAAACAAGCCATCTAGAGAGAGCGAACCTGCAGAATTTTGTTGAGAGGAGACGAGGAGATCACTCTCAGCCAAACGGGGGGCCCAAAACTCGTACGGACCCGTCCCCCGAGTGTCATATATATAAATCCAGCAGGATATCATTTCAGTAGATTAATCGTGTATCAAGCTAAAGCCACCAGCCGTAAGTAAGTAGAATACGGAGCGGCTCCTGCATGGGATAGCCAGCCAAGCCTGACTCCGTATACGCTGCCCTTCGCTATGCGCCTGCACCGTGCCGTCAGAGTCCTAGGTGTCGCCGTCATGCTGCCATCATCATCAATATCGACATGGTTCTGCCTATGAACTGCTCTGTAGAGAATAAGCATCAAGCCGCCACCACACGGCCAACGACACAAGCTGATCCGGGCTCGACCGCAGTGTATAAAGTACTGATGGCTATGGCTGAGTATCTGCCTGCACCGCCAGCCGAGCGCAGTCGTTTCAGCCACATCTCCATCGCCGTGTTTCAGACCTGCCCACTTAGAGAGCGATCAAGCGCATCGTCGCGACCCGCCGTGACCCTCAAACTAGTTAGTCGCCAGCCTGACTAGCCCATGCATGTCATCCTGCCTATATCTGCCACCGGCCCTGCAATAGCAGCAGTCATCGACACCACCATCGACATCATCGACATCGCCAACATCGACGTCCATCAAAAAGACCAAAATCATCCAAAACAAAAAAAACACGAAAACGAAAAAAAAGAATAACACATGCTGACTAACAAGCTTTGTCCCCCTGAAAAAGAAGATCTTTTGACTTCTTGGCGGCCCTAGTCCCCTTTTGGCTGCTCCGCCTGCCTTCTCCCTTTTTCAACTTCGACGTCGGCGGCTTTTCTGGTCTCGCAGTTTGGCTTCTCTCGCGGCATCGCGATATCATTTCATTCCCAGCGCCTGTTACAGACACTCATTCGCTCGTTCATTACTGCTGTCGCTCTTTAGCTGTTGCTGTTTTGCTAGTTGGCCGGCGTCTCGCTCTTTTGGCCGGCGGACTCTTGTCTACTTCCATATATCTACTTGCTGCTACTTCTAGTCTGCCTCGTCTACTTACTTCCCACCACACAGCGCATACCACTCTCCGCTCGGAATGATGCGTGGTGCCGCTAGACTTGCTGTTTGACGTCGAGACAGACCGGAACTTCGCCCAGGGACCTGGCATTGTTGATAAATGCCCGTCCTGCCGCTCCTTTAGCCGCCGTCAATACTGCTCTGTCCGCGGGTTCGGACAGGAGACACACAGACAGGAACAAAGGAAGAAAAAAGAAGAAGAAGAAAACAAGAAAAGACGGCCAGTCGCATTGTGCTGGTACTGCTATATTTGACATATACGTGCGGCTGTGCTGCTACTTCGCTCTTTGCGCCGTTGCTTATAATACACACTACTACAGAATCACCACCATGGGCTGTTGCGGGGGCCGCGACGAGGAGGTCAGGCTCAGAGAGGAGCAGAAATGGGATTACATTGTGAGGCCCCAAACATTCTTATTGCCATGCCTATTGTCTTCTAACACTAGATAGAACTTGAACGACTTTACTACAAAGTCCTGCTGGATCCCCGTCTCGTACATGATCCTCTACTTCAACGTCATCATCTCCCTGGCAGTCTACGCGCTCGACACCTTCACGGCCGTCAACCTGCTTGCGTTCTCTCGCTGGTCCAGTCAGATCAAGCCTGCCATCCCCCTCGACATCTCCAAGTGGATCTTCGCCGGGTGTATCATCTTCTCGCTCGTGCTGCTCGTCTACCGTTGGCTGCGTGCCATCAGGGTCATCAAGTCCGGCGGTATCGCCCAGTGCTATCTTGACCCCATTGCTGTCAAAGTCCAGAGTATTCGCACCAGTAAACGTGCCTCAGGATGGAGACGCTTCCTTGTCTTCGCCGAATTGACCAAGAGTAGGAAGGGAGCAGACTATGTTGCCATCTTTACCTACTTCAACTTCGAGGGTGGGTTTTTTCTTTTTCTTTTTCTTTTATAGGCACAACTCCTCTGAAATACTCCTCAATCTAACGGCATTTAGCATGGTTGAGAGTCATCTTTGCTCAGGGACCACGCCAGGTCATCAATGGAATCACCCTCTACTCTGTAGCACAGCTCAATCTTATCCCAATCGGCGAACATGCCGCACCAGAGGGAACTTCGGCAATCTCCCAGTTCTTCATCAACATTGAAGCCCTAGCTGAAAAAGATAGGCTACAGGCCCTCATTCTCTTCTCCATGCTTTTCACTCTCGTTATCTGGGCCTTCGAGTTTCTCTCTTTCTGTGTCTCCGTGTTGCTTTACTTGCTCTTCCTCTGGCACCATATCCCGTCAGAGGATGGCACGCTTTCGGTCTACTGCCGTCGCAAGATTAACAGGCGACTCGAACGCATCGTCAAGAAGAAGGTTGACAAGGCTCTCACGAATGCTGTTGTCCTGCAAGATAGGAAGCGCACCAACACCGATCTAGAAACCGGAGTGGCTTCTATCAAGCGCAACCCAACCTTGCCCACTCTCCCTTCGGTCATGGATCTCAAGCAGCCGCAGCAACCTAAGCTGCCGGAGATGCCTCCCCTCTCACGCCAGACAACCGTCACTACCTTGCCACCTTATAGACCACACACATCCAACACTGATCGACCGCCGCCTCTGCCAGAAGCTGACTGGGATGCCCACAACCATGAACATGATCAGTACGACAACGATTATAATGACCATGATCATGACCAGCATGGTGACCATGTCATGGCATCCTCTAACTCGATGCACCGAACGCAGTACTCAGATGACGCCTCTGCTTCCCTAGTAAACAACGCTGGTGGTATTGGATACTCGCCGCCGTCGTCGCAATACAATTATCGCCCACCACACCCGCAGCAGCAGCACCATCAGCAGGACCCAATGCAGCGTGAATACACAAAGACGCCCATGCTGCCGCCCGTCGAACGATACGGCACTCCGCTATCTGTATCCACTGCGTCAGTATTCAACGCTCAGGGACTCGGTCAAGGTCGGCGTACACCAGGACCAATGACTCCCGGACCAGGCCCAGGTCCACGTACTCCAGGCCCAATGACTCCTGGACCAGGTCCAGGACCGCGTACTCCGGGCCCAATGATACTTGGACCAGGTCCAGGTCCGCGTACTCCAGGCCCAATGACGCCCGGACCGGGCCCTCGCACTCCTGGACCTCTCACCCCGGGCCCTGGTTCAATCGGCCGCCAAACCCCATCGAGCCACCGGCACCACCAACAGCAACAACAACAACAACAACAAGCATGGGATGCACCAGAAGTGCCCGATCTACCAGTACACAGCCCCCAACCAACGCTCCCATCAATTTCCCGCCCTGGCACTGCCTTTGCTCCTCCACCATCCGTATCTACGCCTGCGCCATCATTTAGCCGTGACCGAGAACGTGAAAGATACGGCCCATACGATGGCCCACAGATGTCTTCCGTCCCACAGATACCGTCTGCCCCTACGCCAACGCCAAGTGCACCTCCTACGCACGGTAACGGGGCACCGTATAGAAACTTCGCCCGGCCGTCGCTAGCTCCTTACTCTGCTCCAGGGGGCCAAGACATGCCACCACGATCAGAAACCGCACCCTTGCCATCTCAAGGCCAGTACAGTCATAGCCAAGTAGGCTACAGTCAAACCGGTAGTCAGGGCCATGGGCAACAGCCAGATCTACGGCAGGAACCTCAATTACCCCAGATACAACCACCAAATGGCACACAAAATGGGTCGCACCCTTCCTTTAACCCATAAATGTGGCATTCTCTCTACTACTACTGCTTCTTCTTCATTTTCTCCTTGTTAACTGGCATATACCCCTTCTTTGGCCATTCATTTACCGATTTACGAGCTCCTTTCTTTAAAGACCCATTCTATACTCTGTTATCTTTACTCTTCTTGATTGATTCCCAATTTTACCTAGTGACATTTCACTTGTTTAACGACAGATGCGCCAATTGATTCATTGATTGACTGATTGACTGCCCCCTTTGACTCCGATATCCTTCTTTCACCATTTACAAACATTCATCTCCTGACCATCTTTTATTCAACTGGTATTTCTCTCCCTCTTTCTATTGTTCACCCTTTTTTCACTTTTTGCAAAACGCCTGAAGCGATTCCCTCTATCCTTTCCCTTTTTTTACCTTCCCCTGTGTTGGAAGAAACCTCATGGGGGATACTGTATGGAGCAGACTTTCTGGGCGATTCAGGTTAAAGTTCATGTCTCTCGCCACTTCGAGCTAGGCGCATGGAAAATACGGAAGACATGCCTTTTTAATGGACGGAAAATAGAATATATGGACTGATACTCTTTCAATCTGCATCTTGAGAACGATGTGTTCGAAGACTTTTGGTAGTTATGCTGTTAAAGCGGCAAGCCTGATGTGTCAGCTGTAGATCTGATAAGAAAAAAGATAACAAAACATTCGCCTGGAGCGCTTCGCGGCCACGACATCATACACAAATAGCTAACCAAGCCACCAGGGAGCTTCCTCCGCTGTTCTTTTTCATAGCAACTCAAAGTTCTACGCCGTGTATTCCACCCTGAAGCACCAGGACCAGTTTCACCTGCGTTGTCAGTCGTCACCACGACATCCAACCTCGAAAGCCCGATAAAATACTTATATCCCTCAACTACACCGCCACCAGCCGAACAATGCAGCATGACAAGTGATGGGTGCCATACAATGAACGGACTAGGCATTGATGATGGAGAAGGAAAAGGCGAAATTTCTCCGGGCACGATGGTCGGCTCGTCCCTGTTAAATGGCAGGAAACAACGAAGCGAGGAGGCCGACGAACTTGACTATGAGGAGCAGTCGGCAGCGAGCCCAGAGCCGGTTCTGGCTGCGCTGATACAAGGGAAACAAGAGGATAAAGCTAGGGATAAATATGTGGGCATCAGCAGCTCTGAAGTAAATACAGTGGCAGCCGTGGGGGTTGGCGGCAATGTCGATGGCAGACAACTACCCAGCCCAGCCCCAACGCCAGAGCCAGAGAGTCAAATAAATATATGGCCTGAGAATGCCACGGACGAAGACCCTACCACCCTGAAGAGGCCACCTGGCCAGATACCAAGACCTGCGGCAGCCGATGTTACGCTTAAAGACCACTCATATACCCCGTCGCACCCATCAAAGTCAAATAAACAGAGCGCTGGGACGGACGCAACAAAAGAAAGAGACAAGGTCCAGAAGCTGTCTCCCGCGAAATTACAGGATTTAGCGTCTTCGCCGGAATTTACTTGTCTGCGAGTAACGGATGATGCTGACACTGATATCGAAGTTGATGCCGAGAGGCCACAAATTCAGCAGATACCACCCTCGAAACCAGTTCTTGACCTCGCATCTGTCGAAGTAGAGACAGGACCGGAACTAGAACCATCGACAACTCCACTGATATCCTTGAAGGCGAAAGATGAGGAAGTAGGTATCTACGACGTAGATATGGGCACTGGCACTGGCTCTATTGGTGCAATAAAGGATCGCAATAGAAGCCGTGCGCGAACACGTCGGTCTAGCACCGGGAAGAAGCAAGTCCATCTTCAGGATCCGTTGGAGTTTCATGGCCGGCGTGTTAATAGCGATCCTTCCCAGCCTCTTCCTACCTCATTTCGTCCTCGAGACAAAGCTTCATCTGTGTCTGGCCCAGTGCCTGCGGCCGAAAGAGAGCGGCTATACGACAATGGCTCAGGTAACCGTTCAAGACGGATGCCGTCCCCGTTGAAACTAGATGCAGGTTCTCGGTCAACACGCTCATCGGGTGTAAACAGAAGCGTATCTCCCGTACCAGCGTCTATTCCAATTCCACCCTTTTCTATACCGACATACCTCCAGCTCGAACTGTCCTCTCACAGGCCATCATCCCTCTACATCCATCGATCAGGAGCTCATGATTTTCCCTATGAAAGCTCTCGGGTAATGTTAGAAAGATTGCAGAATTTCTTTCTTCTTCCTCCGCTTCTAGAACAGGCGTTATGTTTCGGCACTCTAGCCTGTCTCGACTCGTGGCTGCATACTTTCACCCTTCTCCCGTTACAATTTCTAAAGGCGGTTTACATCCTGCTACAGTCCTGGATGATTAACCTTGGACTTGAGATTCGTTTTGTCGCCTCGTATATAGTGAGCGGTCTCGGTCGGATGTGGAAACGTCGACGACGGCGTGACTCTGTCCGTGAAACAACGCATGAAAAACCAATCAATATCAAAGATGCTTCACCGAAGCTTATACCCATTGACCCATCGCCAATAGATGGCAGTCCAGCCCTAGATCCAGCTTCAGGCTCAGAAGCGCGTCGACGTCGTGGATCTACGACTCGAAGACATCGGAGGACCAAGTCTATTCCGTCTACGTTACTTGAAAATGACAAGGCAGATATCCTCAAGGGATTACTGATGATATTTACCTGCACTATTCTAATGTACTTCGATGCAAGTCGAATGTACCACTGGATTAGAGGGCAGGCAGCTATCAAGCTCTACGTTATATATAACGTTCTTGAAGTAGGTGCATACAAACTCATTCACTTTGAAGAATTTATCTTACTGATCCCCTCCTTAGGTTGGTGACCGGCTACTTTCCGCCATTGGCCAGGATGTTCTCGAATGCCTATTCTCTCAAGAAGCACTGGAACGAAGACCGGATGGCCGAAGCAAAGTTGTACGCCCGTTTTGGATGTTTATTTTCGCTCTTATATATACCGTTATCCACGCCACGGCGCTCTTCTATCAGGTGATGACCCTGAATGTGGCAGTGAACTCATACTCCAATGCACTGATTACTCTACTATTATCTAACCAGTTCGTCGAGATTAAATCGACGGTCTTCAAAAGGTTTGAAAAGGAGAATCTCTTTCAACTCACCTGTGCAGATGTTGTTGAGCGGTTCCAGCTATGGCTCATGCTCATCATAATCGCATCCAGAAATTTTGTGGAAACAGGAGGCTTCAAGCTCGGAAATGCCTTGACATCTCAAAGCAGTGCGACAACTACCACGAACAGCACAACTGCCTTTAAGCCATCTACGTCAATCCTCCCGCAATCATTCACCCTTCTTATCCCATCATCTGTATTTTCATCCTTGAGCAGTGTTAACTCCATTCTCCCTGCAATTGGCCACCTTTTGGCCCCTTTTCTTGTTGTTCTAGGTTCCGAAATGGTAGTTGACTGGCTTAAACATGCCTACATCAGCAAATTTAACAACCTTAAGCCTGCAATGTACGGCAGATTCCTCGACATCCTTGCCAAAGATTACTACAGCAGCGCATTTTCCGATCCGAATCTCAACCGCCGCCTCGGACTACCGGTTATACCGCTTGCTTGTTTATTTTTTCGCGTTTCAGTTCAGACATACCAGATGTTTCTAACTGCTTGGCTGCCGCAATTATCATCTTCTCCTTTTTACCCCCCACCGTCGAATGCTACATCTTTGACTGAGATACACAGTCACTACGCCCCTATTTCAGGCTCATCGGCCTCGTTATCGTCTGTTATACCCGATTTCTCCAATGCTTCCGCATCGACAATTCTATCTTCCATATCGCTCTCGACAATTGCACAAGCAGCTTCTTCCATTTTCCAAACACTCGTATCATACGCCACACCCTCTCCCGAATCATTTGTCCCTATTTTCACCGTCATCCTTGTCCTACTACTCTATATAACCTTACTTCTGGGAAAGCTTGTCCTGGGCATGATCCTTCTTGGCTACTCCCGCACAAGATACAAGAACATGAAATACCGTGAGCGTGAGTACGCAGCGCAGCAGAAACGAGAACAACGTCGCCAGCAACACCAACAACACATGAAATCCACATCCCCTTTGCCCCATGTGCCTTCATTCCCTGCTCAAAATATCGAATCATCCTCGTTCAATAGCGCAAGCAACAGCAACAGTAACAGCGATATTATAGAAGGAGGTCGACGTGGTGGCGGCTGGGGCGCTGTGGAGGTTGGAGAAGATAAAAGAAGATGGATATACGTCGATGACCCTGAGGGTTTGCGAAGACTACGCGACCGCGAAGCGAAGAGCAGGAGTGATAATCCCGGCGGGTCTGGGAGCGGGGCTCATGGGCTGGAAAATGTGAAAAGGTACGAAATGGCGGCGAAGAGGATATGGTAATCAATGTATTCAACGCCTTTGCTACCAATACTAGAATAGGGAATAAAGTCAGAAGACGTTCATTTCTTTTAGCTGTTTGAGAGATCATATGGCAGAGGACTACTCTACATTTCTCTACTGAATGGGGCTAAGAGCTGAGTAGGCCGACGACGAAGTGTACTCTAGACTGACCATAAAGAAGGTTTATGGAAGTGGGTCCGGGGTTAAGCATAAATGAGCCGCAGTCTCAAAATTCGCCTGCTCCATGATTAAATAAGTCTATCATGATCTATAGCATAATAAATTAGAAAGAAAACATTTTCAGCGCTCAAATAGGCCTAATAAACCGTGTTACTAGAGCATGCAAATACAGCTGATAGAAAAGTAAATATTATTATTGGCTCGTCCCCCGATGCCTTCTCTCTCCTAGCAGCAAGATAATTACAGAAACTGTTCAATAACGGTGAGTTCAATGTGACTTAGGACGTCGTTCCCAGCGAATCCGCGCGGGTTTCATTGGTCCAGAAAACAGTGATGAGTAGTCTGTAGCAGGTACGCCATTCTTCCCCTCCAAGCTGTATAAGCGCAAGTGACGCACCACCGTAGCAACTATCACCGTTAGGTTGACATAGGCGAATTTTTCTCCAATGCATCGGTGCCGGCCAGCCCCAAATGGGAGATATGGGCTATTAGACCCCTTAGCCATAACACCGTAGCCATAATCAACCATATCCTCCTCCTTTTCATCAGTCTTGGGTTTTTGGGCGTCCCATCGATAAGGATCCCACTTCATCGCGTTGGGGAAATGCTCATCACTCTGGGCCGTTACTCCCGGAGATGCGAGTAAGACATGCGATGTTGGTACCACATAAGGGGTACCAGGAACCGGCATCGGGTTCTTGACCTTTCTCATGAGCGAATGGATTGATGAGTTGAGGCGGAGGGTTTCGCGGATCACATTTTGATGTAGCGGAAGGTTGTCAAGGTCTTTGTACTGTAGGGGAGCTAGGCAGCCATTGGGGCCGGTATGTGGCAGATTGGCTAGCTGCTCTCGGTAAAGTTCTTCCACTATATCTGGTTGAGAGGCTAGACGAAGCATAATCCAGGAGCTGATTGAAGACGAGGAGTGCTGACCGGCCATTAGGAGGGTGATCATCATATGCGCAATTTCCTTATCCGGTAGCGGTTGTCCATTTTTATAGGTGCATTGCATCAAATTGTGAATCATGTCCGTCTGGGTATTGTTGGATTTGGCTCCTTCGCGACGTCGCTTTTCAATAATATCGGTATAGATGGCACGCATACGAGAGTGGGCAGCATCCCGCTTCTTATTATGTGGCAAAGGGGCCCACGGTAGCATGAAATTTATAGGGGTAAAACCCTTATCCAGATCATGATATAGAGCGGCAAACTCGGTCGTAAGTTTCGAGCGTACCTCTTCCCCCTGAAGGGTAATACCGGCGGTAAAAATAGTTATTTCAGCCATGGCGCTCGAAATATCTACGTCTCCGGATTTTCCGTGGAAGTTGGGAGAAGTATCAAGATAATCTAAAACTTCTTTCTCGATCAAGGGAACATGAGCCTCTAGTGCTGCTGATGAGAGACCGTATTTAATGAATTTCTTCTGTTCCATGAGCTTGGAATTGGGACAATCGTAGACCACATCGGACCCAAAGACTGGAGTTGTTAAAGGGGAATACACCTCCTCTGCATTCACATCCTTTAATTTGCCATTGAGAATGAATTCGTTTCCCTTGATTCCCAGGTATACGGTAGTGTGACGACCCAGGAGGACAAACGTGAAGATATCGCCATGCTAGAGCCAGATGATCAGTATTAGCTAGTCAATGAAGCACGCTACAGGCTGCTGTTTATTCATCACTCACCTTCTTTTGGCAAGAAAAGAAAAACTTATATGGATCCATTCCATAGCTGATAGTATTACCCAGGAATGGGATCCAATGGAAGACTAAAGGGGGCCTGGATTTGTTCAGCAGGCGAAAAAGCACCTGATAGACGACATTGAAAAAGATAGCCGCGATAAAACCTAGCAGAGCGTAGGTGCCCACTGTGAGCACGGCCATGCTTGATTAACTGACGAGGACAAGAAATTGGTAAACAGCGATTCAATATTAGCTGAAGAAACGTTGGATGCGACGTTTGCTTTCCCCGGACTAAATAAGCAACTAAAGCGGGTGCCTCCCCAGCCAGCCCGGGAACCTCGCTTCCGGATGGGCAGATTTCGTATCCAGAGAAAACATGATAAATTCGACGATCAACTGGCTATATTAAATAAGCCCAACTAGATAATGCTATTGGCTGGCTATTACTTACTATCATATGCCTGTTAAATATCGAAGGAGAGAAAGGCTGACTCAGGCCGAAGGTAACAGACGCCCAATTTTCACTGTGTAAAACGAAACCCAACCAGTCCGTTTAACCCAAAAATAAACATGAAAGAGAAAGCAAAGCCAAACGGGGTATATGCAGTAACTAAATTTAGTGTCCAGAAAACATGCTCTTGAAAATTTCACGGCTGTTGTACAGATTTTGGATCCTTAGACGTTCATTATCTAGATGGGCATTATCACTGGCTTGACCACAGGGTAAATGGGCAGCCGGAGCACCGAATTCTTTTTCCAGAAGTCGAATGGTGGGGATGGATCCTCCTTCACGGATGTAGATTGGCTTGATGAGGTTTCTAACGTTGCTGTCTGCCTGTCCAGAGATAGACTGAGAGCGTTTTTCTTGGGCAGAGCCTTGACTTTCACATGTAGAAGTAGGTTTTATGCCATTTGAACCAGAGGTGGTCGATTGATCGACAAGAGTTGAAGACGTTGGAATATACTGCTTTTGCGTCGCAGCAGGAGATTTCGGTGAGGATGAAGAAGTAACGACATGTGCGGCATCAGTAGAATCAGTATGAATTGGTGCAGGACGACTGCGTAGTTGCGGTTTATTCAGTGGAGGGTAGTTATATTCCTGGCTACCATTGCCTTGCTTTGTCCATGTTAATGTCACGGCATGGGAAAGAGCTTCAAATAGTTCATTATCAGGGTCTCCGAGCCATGGATCTGCAGTTCCGGTAATTTCGACGGTGAGGGTATTCTGCGAATTTAACTCGGAGAATTGAGCCTGAGCATAGTTGATTAAGTCCTCTGCCACCTTGCTTGACTCTTGGTTTGGAACGATACGAATAGAAAGCGAGGCTTTCGCCTTCCTTGATATAGTGGTGGTCGACTTTTTGCAACTAGGAATGTCAATGCAGTGAATGGTTAGCGAAGGTTCACGCCAACGATGCATCAGAGATTCCGTGAATGATTCAAAATTCTTGATCTCGGGGTGGTGCGGTAGTAACGCCTCGGCAATAGCATCGTAGCGTGCCTTTTCGGTGGGTGTTAATGATAAAACCGGGTCATGAAAGCCCGGGAGATTGATCGCTCCTTTGGGTCCGACTATCGTTCCTAAAAGCAGTGTCAGGTCCTTGAGAGGTTCGTCGAGTAGAGAACTTCCATCAATTCCACTATGGAGATCTGGTTGATTGCTTGATACAACAATATTTGCATGTACCACTCCTCGTAATCCGTATGTCAGGCAAGGAATGTGGTCATCCAACCAGTAGCTGTTGGCCAGGAGAATCCAGTCAATTGGGCCGATCAAGGTTTTATTTTCACGGATAGCTTGTCCAAACCCCTGCGAACCAGATTCTTCTTCTCCCTCAATGAGAAAAACAACATTGGAAGACAACTCCTTTCGCTGATAGAGTTCTGCTGCAGCATAAAGAGCAGAAAGGGATGGCCCTTTGTTATCGGAGACGCCACGACCATATAAGTACCCATTTAGGGAGGTCAAGTGGAATGGATCAGTGTTCCACTTAGGATGGCTTGCTCCAGCTCCAACAACATCATAATGACCATAGAAAAGAATGGACTTGTCCTTCTTTACAGGTGCATTCGCTGGGAATTTGGCAAACACAATTGGATTTTTCTTCTGTCCTGTCCCAAGTAGCTTGGTCTGAGCTCCTAGATACTTGCAGTGTCTGCGGAGGAAGATTGCTCCCTGAGCACATTCGCCAGCGAACGCTGAGCAACCGGAAATTGTCTTGAATGCAATAAATTTTGCCAGCGTGTTGACCATCTCATCTGTAAATATTTTAAGTTAGAAAGAAAATGACGTATAATAAGGGAAAGGGGGCCGTTATGTACCGTTGCTAATGGCAGGTATCTCCTGTGAATCAGCTTTTTCGTCCGTCAAATCCCATAGAGCAACTGTGTTGTCATTACCACCAGTAGCAAAGATCCATCTATTCTTAACATTCCCGGAGGTAGAAGTGAGCATCTTCCCATCATGAGCTGTCCATGTTCCGAGCTCCTCAAAACGAGAGTTGAATTTCTAGATGAGTTAGACAACATTCACTGCATCTTGTCAGTTGGAAGCTAGGTATTCTTACCTTCACGACACCATCCGAATCACCACTCAGAATGAACCCTTTGATAATGTCAATTGCCCATACGTCACCAGTATGGCTAGAGATTGTTTTGATGATCTGTCTCGACTCCAAATTCCAGACATTTATTGCCCCTCCCGAGAGACCACAATAGAGGAATGTCCCATCAACCGAGATGGATAGAACCGATTCGTCTCTATTTTGAAGCGTAAAAAGCTCCGTTGGCGCCACGCCCGGGCCATGACCGAGTTCCCATATTTTTACAGATCCATCACCAGATCCTGTTAAAAGAACCTCTCCACCGCTGGTTTCTACCAGGCCCCTGACAAGTCTCATGCAATAAACGTATCCGTTATGGGCGAATAACCGATGCTGGTCTTTTCTAAAATATAGTTTCTGCCCTTGGCTCTCGATTCCATTTTGACAGGCAGTAGAAATGGGCTCTGTAGCTCCGGGGCCTGTGGAGTCAAAGAACTTATGCGGCTTATTCGCCTTGTTCCCAACTGCCTGAGGGATATCACTTTGTTGAAGATCGCACCACTAGAGGAAAACCTGTGAGTAAGCAGCCCGGATATCTAAACAGATGCAAACCATACCTGAATGCTTGTGTTTTGGCCACCGCAATACACCGTTCCCCTGTCTGCAGAGTACACCGTAGTGAATATGTCCCCGGGGTCATGATGTGACTCTATCGAGTACAACTGCTCCAGCGTTCTTGTACACCAAACCTGTGACTTATTAGCTCTACTTCTTGCGATAAGTACATTCGTTGGTTCATACATTAACGGTAGAGTCCCCGCCACTAGAAAATAAAAGCTCCTTATCTGGGGACAAATGAAGCCCAAGGACGCTCTCCTGGTGTGCTGCCACGGAAGCTATGGACTCATAAGTTGAAAGTGACCATGCCTATCCTGAATCAGCTTTGAACTGCGAAAGATACTAGCCGTGGTACTCACAACGATGTCGCCTCCTTGAAGCCCTGCGAATACACAGTCCTTGCCAATAGCTAACGAGAGCACTGAACGGCTGGCCTGCAACCGATGAGCCACTCCAGAAGCAGTTCTGGACTCTGTTGTCGGCGATGAATCGGCGGAGTCCTGTGCATTCATTCCAGTAGTTTCAGCTGTTGAGAGCTTGGTGAAGCCTGTATCAATGCCGTTGAGGTCTATATCATCCATGCTGTCAGTATATCCAAGATGAGAACTACCAAAAATGCCCAGCCAGCTCCTTCGTAATTTTGTAGTTAATGTACTAATTTAACGGGACCACCACCTCATCTGCAGAAAGCTGCGTCCTGTGTCAATGATAAATGCTATGAATATCTCTATGTTATGTTGGTGCAAATTGGCGGAGGTTTTGGCCCAAAAGGAGTTTTTCCCCATCGAGCCGATGTCGACATCGTGTGGCGGTGGATTGACTTTTTCGTTCTTCTTTCACCAACTCCATCTCATCGACAGCCACACACACGACAGGCAGAGAAGATGCTTATACAGGCAGAGGACGGCGGACCAGCGGAATTGCAATGAGACTGACTTACCGAAGGCTGCAGACTGGCTGTAATTGATGCCATATCTCAGCGTCGTTCGAGTGACGGATGGCGGCATGGCTGTGATCGGAGGTCGGCGGGAGGTTAAATCAATCAAACAAGCAACAGAGCAACAGCAGCAATGGGCTTGATAATGCTATGACGACGGATTTCAAACGAGAGAATGCAAAAGTGTCGACAAGTGAACGAAAGTGACCAGCTATGTTTCTTTTCTACGCCAGAGGGAAAATAAATGGGAGGTAGGACATGGTCACTCGACCATATTTTAATCAACGATGCATGATGCACAATGGATTATCGGCAGACCAATTACTGTTTGTTATCGTGGGAATTTGCTGGTTTCAAGGGACCAGCCAGCCTGTTGCATCGACTGGCGCAGCTTCACCGCATCTATAGCTCGAAAGAGAGACTGCCATTAGGTTTGGCATTGCAGCTAGGCCGTGTTTCTCAAACGAGGACGTGAGGCGTGGCTTGGAGCTTGGAGCTTGGTATTTGGCTTGGATCTCGAGTTGCCGGATAGGTAACGCTTAGGAAAGACGCCGTTAAGCCCGTTAACTACGGAGTAATGGTCTGCTAAATCGCCGGTTCTACGGAGGCACCCTGGCGGCGAGACCGGCATAGCGGGCAAGGCTGGATAGCTCATGCGGCCCGGCTTGCCGCAGAAGACGGTTACTTGATTAGCTTGTGGGTTCACCTCAGGATGAATAAGGGCAACGAAACAAAACGACGAAGGTTTAGGACCCTGTGAATATCCTCTACGTGGGCTGATATGGATTCGTCTCTTGCGTAGGTTCTTTCTGCAAAATGTGTATGCAGTTTACGTGATATCATTTCGGCTTCTTATTTACGGTCATTAACGAAGAATCAGGAAAGAGAACTACACAATACGGGGTGTCGGCTCTTTTACTATCGCGACCAGGTACCCCGTACAGGGTACTCCAGATAGGGACATGTTCCACCGTGAACCCAGGGGACGAGGCATCTCATCATGCATAAGCCAACCAATCAGAGATAAACCCCCATGATCAAGATATTGCTTGGGCAAGGCAACTCCCGTCTCTTGTGTGATTTTTTGATTGGTGTATATGCTTAGGTATACATGCTGAAGCGTGAGACTCCTACGTTTAGCGCGGGTAGAAGTTTGCCTTGCAGACGGGAGAGGGAAAAACAGAAAGTTCCGTGTGCATTGTTACGACGAAGAAGGGACAAAGGGCCTGGGCTCTTTTTTTTTCCATACGGGACACGAAAAAATTTGAGTCTGGCAACAGACCGACTCTAGGCTTACCTTCACGAAGTATGGGGAATTCCCAAATCCGGACTGCAAAGCCTACCACAGTGAGAACTCCGTTAAACCTATTGAAATCTATGGATGTCCTAGCACATCAGCAGGCTCAGCTGTCGGACGACCATGTAGATCCCCCTGCCGAGCGTCTGGATTCGCATAGACTCATACATACTTATATTGTGCCGGAAACTCTTAGTATCATTTAATTACGGAGTACGGAGTACTGAATGCCGAATCGACAACACTGAAGGGATGATCAGAATATGTACGGAGGACTGTTTAACTCATTGGATGGGCAGATGCGGACGTCACGAAGCTTTGAGAGTTGGATAGATGATGGCTTCCATTCTGTGGTATTATTATTCAGAGCATCGACCGTCGCGACTCTGGAAGGGGTTTCATCAAACCTCTGATCCGTGGCGGCACCAGAGACGGAAATTTCGACGAAAAAGTGATGGGAATTGTTTCAACAGCAGTCAAAACCTCCCAGGGGTTTCGTTTGAGACATCGTTTCCATCGGTTATGAAGTGGTTAACAAAAGTGGCCGCTGCATAAGTAGCTAACTACGCCATGAAGAAGATAGCGATGGATATTCGAGTCTTGATAGTCATGGACGGCTGGCTGCTGGCCGCAGTTAGGTAAACTCGCCCGATAGCTCTGTCTGTCGGTTGTTGCAAGGAATGAAAACAAGCAGTGGACCAGGCGAAGACGGGATGCTTGTCAAAATGGCTAGCCCAATGGCTACCCGGCGGCCGGCGGTCCACTCGCTACTCTCCACTCGAATATACCGACCCCTACACCGTCGTTTCTCCCCATCACACTCGTCTTATCCAACTTCTTACCTCGCACCCGTCCCCAGAATAGAGGGGAAGCAAAGGAGCGAGCAAAGAGCCATCCTCTGGAAGCCAGAGAAAGATTCTGTATAGAACAATTCTGCAGCTTTGCATCATCAACAGAATCGAATATCAAATTGCTGTGGCTGTTCTTGCATATAATACGAGAATCTGCGCCACGCTTCACCGCCACATTGTCATCGACTGGCTGCGTCTCTTTTCCTTCGTTCTCTTTCACGCCAATCACGCAGCCCAACCGCTTCATTCTCCCAGCCCAACTGAGGCCAGACAGGGAAAGGTGAGAGAAAAAGTAGGGCGCCAGTTGGCTAGCAGAGAGTGGGCGGATAGGCATCGCCGTGGATCGGATGGCAGTCGTTGGCTGGATTGTCCCGCCTCATATAATAATAACTACTATCCCGGATTGCTGAGTTGGCAGTGGTAGTTATATACTCAGCAAGACACTGCATTTCAGGACGGACCTCCTGGCACATCCGAATTAATCCATATATTTTTCATATTGAGGGCATATGGTAGTAGAAGCCTTCGGACAGCTTCTCCCTGGCCAGACATTGCGTACTGGTTCATCCAGAGCTAGACGCCTATTTCAGCAGTCAAAATGGCTGCCGCTATAGGTCAGACGATCTCCGTGATAGATAAGTCTGGCAAAGTTGTTAGCACCGTGAGTCCCGCTGTTGTCTTGCCACCACCAGTATTTTGGCTAAAGCTTTGCCCAGAGCAAACATCTATTCAGTGTGTTCAAAGAAGCTCGTTCTGCCTACAAGGAACGTAAGGCCGTCATCCGAAGCGCCGAGGAAGCAAAAAAGGCAGAACGAGATACCCGCCGGGCCCTCGCAGCATACACCCTCGAGGATGACCGCTCCACGACTTCTAAACGACACCTAGGCCGAGCCAAATCGGTTGTTCGGCATCATGACGATGACAGACAAAGCAGACATCACAGTCATCACTCAAGTAGGTCGCAAAAACGCCGGTCATTCGAATTTGAAGTTCGATCCGAGTATCCAGATGGCTACCATCCCAACTCACAGCTCGCACGGCGTCATACGGAGCATAACCTTTCCATGGCAAAGCCTGTTAGGCCCTCGTACGGTGAAGCACGCGCCCACACTCTTCCAAAAGTCGATATGGATCTCGCATACGGCGAATTCCATCAATCTGCACTTGATCGGCTCGACCCAGAACCTAGCGATATGCCCGGACTCGTAGGGAGGGTCAAGGATCTCCTTGTTGAAGCTGACTGTGCACACCACTCGGTTACGGCAACGATTGCACACCTGCAGTCAAACCCAGATGCCATGGCCGCTGTTGCTCTCACCTTGGCTGAAATCAGCAAGCTAGTGTCTGATCTCGGTCCCACAGCCCTTGCGACCTTGCGAGCCAGCGCACCAGCAGTCTTCGCCCTCCTGGCGAGCCCGCACTTCATGATCGCAGCCGGTGTGGGTATCGGTGTCACAGTAGTCATGTTTGGAGGATACAAGATCATAAAACAGATCTCATCGAAGCCAGAAGGAATGGAAGAACGGCAACTCGAAGCTCCTGTTATGGTGGACGAGCTGCTTGAAATCAATTCTGGCATGAGCCGCATTGAAGGCTGGAGAAGGGGAGTTGCAGAGTCTGAGGCCGAGAGTTGTGGAACATCTGTTGACGGGGAGTTCATCACGCCCACAGCAGCAGCAATGTCTCGTGTGATGCTTAATGAGCAGCACGCGTACGATAATGACCGTCGAAGCGAAGTCAGAAGCAGTCAGATACTCCCCGCGCCAACTCGAGTGTCTTCATATGTTGGAGGCAGCGTGTACGAGACGGGCTCGCAGTATTCACGCCGCTCACATTCGTCCAGGCACTCCAAAAGCTCCAAAACGTCTCGGTCCCACAGTGAGAGTAAGCATAAGAAAGATGAGCTGAAGGAGAAGGAAAGGAAGAAGAAGAAGAAGCCCTCCCCCTTGAGAAAGCTGTTTAGCTGATGTCCTGCACCTTTGTTTTGTTGTATTGTTCCTGATGACCGTCATGTATACGTGAGATTTCGCCACCGGATCTAATGACCTATCCGGGTGTTTCCTTTTTTTTTTTTTTTTTTCTCTTTTCGATTGATTTATATCCCACATTTTGGATCTGCTTATACTTATCTTCATTTAAAGAGTGGGATGTCTTTTTCTTCTATCTGTATTTTTGTTGCGGGCGTTTATATGTTCAATCTAGATATAGATCTAGATCAGCCCGTCTAGCCCGCAAGGGTGATATATAACGGGATACACGAAAAATAACACGAATCAGAACCGTAAACTTAGTTCCTCAATCAACTATCCACTCTTTTAGCTGTTTCCAGGTCTTCCTCCTAGTCTGTTGCTGAAATCCAACTTTGATATCTCTGGCTGTCCGTCGTCGAGGCTGAAAAGGCAAAATTAGTCACATGACGTCACGTGCAAAAGGGCTTCCGATCTTTTTTTTTTTTTTTTTTTAGTTTTATTTCTTGAAAAGCTTCAAAGCAAAAAGACGAAGATCGAAGAGACGAATGACGGCGCAAAAAACACCACCGTCGACCCGTTAGAAATCTGCTGTTGTTTTTAAGAGCTCTCTTGGATCAGATCCTTTTACCGCCTGATTCCCGTGCACTGTCAACGCAGCCGTGTTAAAAGAGCATCCCGACGCCGTTCCATCACTACAAGAAAAATCTTCATAAACCTCGATTTGTACAATATACCGGACAAGGCTGGCCTGTTGTTCTTTCTAAGCTTGAGGATCAGTTCGAATTGCACGATTTCGGCCATATTTCAGATATTATAATACCTTGCACGCAGTTACTTTGGCATAATGGATCACACCCGCGACCCGTGTCCCTATGTCATCCTCAGTGATTTTGGCGGTGCCTTTAGCATGGGTGTACGTTTATCCCTTGTACCAATCGTGATGTTTCAATATTCGTCCCTCCTCAGTAATTGGCCTAGCTGAACTGACTTGGTTGTTATCTATATAAAGGCTATCGGTGGTGCAGTCTGGCACGGTGTTAAGGGATTCAGAAACAGTCCATACGGTGAGCGGAGAATAGGAGCCATCACAGCTATCAAGGCTCGAGCACCAGTTCTCGGCGGTAACTTCGGTGTCTGGGGTGGTCTCTTTTCAACATTCGACTGCACAGTCAAGGGAATACGGAAGAAGGAGGATCCCTACAATGCCAGTACGTCAATCATTTATAGCATCATTTGGGACTCGTGAACTAACTAGTTGTTGTTAGTTATTGCTGGATTCTTCACCGGTGGTGCACTGGCTATCCGTGGTGGAATGAGGGCTGCACGAAACTCCGCCATTATGTGTGCTTGTTTCTTGGCTGTTATCGAAGGTGTTGGTATCGGATTCCAGAGAATGATGGCTGATAACACCAGATTAGACGTGAGTTTTCTTCTAGAGTTTCTTCTCTTTTCACACCCGGCTAATATATATCGCATATAGGCACCTCCACCTCCACCCAGCGGCTCATCGAACACAATGGCTGCGTAATCAGTCCAATCATATATACCAAGCTGGCCTCGTGCCTCGATTCTTTTCACGCCAACGAATTTATTTTGGCACCTATTGCCTTGCTTGGGGCTTAACGTTGTCCTCATATTCTCCTTCGACTTTCCCATATTATCTGGAGTTATTCGGTCTCGTTTTATTTGTCAGGGGCATGGGTTATAAATAGATGATGTTTACTTGTCTTCCCACTTTCCCTCTGGTTTCCTCCAATCCTCCCTTCTTATCCTTCTTATAATGTCCTTATTAAACTCCGATTTCTCGCAGGATGCCTCGATCAACCTCTCCAAAAAACGCCTGAAGCCTTCCTTCACTGTTTGTCCCGATCTCATCCTGTTTAGCTACACTCATAAATTATGCATGCCCCCCAGCGCATATACGGGTAATGCCGCATACATCTGCAATGCATTCCCAAATTCCCATGGATATATGCCCAATTTCTCTCTTCTCCTTTGGCGCTAATGATTGTTGGAAAGCGAGAATACCTTCCGCGCCCTGTACATTACCTACACATTGCAGTGAAAAAAAGCCATATCAATTGCAACTAACTCATTGATCGACGTTGTACTGTTTCCTCCCATTCCCACCCTACCTATATGTCCCCCTTGCCGCTTTAGCTCCACGTGACCATACCCCTGCCCAGCCCAGGTGCAACGGCTACTCCTCCGCCGTTTAGCCGAGCGTGGAGTTGGATCCATATCAGTTTCATTGTACAAAGCCACCTGAAGAACCTATTTCCCGCCTGTTAGCTGACCGACGCGGACATCATGACGGTTACATATGCGGCCTCCTCGGAATCCACGCCGCAGCCGCGTTTTAGGCCAACGGTTATCATCCACGGCGGTGCGGGGAATATTGTACGCTCCAGGATCCCCCCAGAGTTATACGAGAGATATCGAGCGTCCCTATTGAAATACCTGCATTCGACTGTTACTCTTCTCAATGGTGAGCAGGAAGAAGGAGACGGGACCAAGAAGAAGATTACGCCATATTCTGCTATTGACGCAGCCGTACATGCTGTGTCATTGCTAGAAGATGACGAACTATATAACTGTGGACGGGGAAGCGTGTTTACGCTTACTGGCACTCACGAGATGGAGGCTTCAGTGATGGTTTGTTCACTCCTCCCTGAAACCCAGGGATGCGAAGATGTAAAGCGGGCACTGATTAAGCGCGGTGCCGGAGTCATGATGCTGAAAAACGTTCGTCATCCAGTACAACTAGCGAGGGAAGTTCTTCTGCGAAATGACGTTGAAGGCCACAGGGGTAATGGCGAGAGCATGCATTCTCATCTCTGTGGTCCGTATGTGGAATCCCTCGCGAAGGAATGGGGGTTGGAATCCAAACCCGATGAATGGTTTTTCACCCAGAAACGATGGGACGAGCACATGAAGGGACTAGGTAAAGGAGCTTCAATTGACCATGACACTTTGCCTAAACCGGGAGAAGATATCTCGAAATATCTCAGTCAAGGAACAGTTGGATGTGTATGCCTTGACCAATGGGGGAACATTGCTGCTGCCACAAGCACAGGAGGGCTGACCAACAAACTGCCCGGGCGGATTGGCGATACCCCAACGCTTGGGACTGGATACTGGGCTGAGGCCTGGGATGTTCCCAGCTCGTCAACTCGTCGGGCTCTCGGACTGTCTTGCACCGGTAACGGCGACTCGTTCGTCCGTGTAGCCGCTGCTCACTCGGCCGCCTCACTGTTGAAGCTGGGTGCAAAGGATTCGCTTGCGGATGCTATTACTGCCATTGCTGGACCTGGCGGAGAACTTCAGCGCTCAGCAGGCCCAAGGTGGGGAGTGACCGGAGAAGGTTCGGGAGGAATCATTGGTATCGAAGCCGAAGTGCCACACGATGCTGAAGAGCGTCAGAGCGAAGAGCCTATTAAGGGAAAAGCAGTATTTGACTTCAACCGTGGCGGCATGCTTCGTGCTTGGACGGAAGAAGATGCCGATGGTGTACTAAGGGAGAGAATGATGGCGTTTAGAGACGAGTACTACTCTTAAATAAAACACTATGCTAGCATTACACACATTCATAAACCTATTTCATTAAAGTGTTTCGTATTCTTCGTTAAAATTTGCATACATCATAACATAAAATATACTCCGTTAAGATATCCACGTAAAGCATCCTACCAACCTTCCAAGACCTTTAACCTAGCCCTTACTCCATCTGCTGGCCGGTTAGTTATACCAGGTGTGATCTCCAGTTCTTTATCCGGATCTTCAAGTTCCATCTCAAACCTTCCTGCAAGTACAGCGACCAAACACATTAACTCACCCTTCGCAAAAGTGTTCCCAATACAGCTTCGAGGCCCATGTATAAAAGTAAGGAAGGCATAGTTTGACTCAGCACCACCGGTGTTTGCACAGCCGGGAGCCAGCCAACGGTCTGGGTTGAAGACATCTGCATCTTCTCCCCAGAATTCGGGATTTCGGTTCGTTGCTCTAGGTGCAATGACAATATTTGTTCCTTTTTTGATAGGCTGGCCGGCAATGACGGTATCGCGAATTGCCTGGCGAGTAGTAATGGTAACTGGTGGGTAGAAACGAAAAAGCTCATTGCAAAATGCGTTGAGGTAAGGTAATGTGTCCAGAAGGGTGGATGAGATATGTCGTAATCCATTTGCATCCTTATTTTGCCCCGGTGACGGAATTTTAGCCCTAACCTCTTCACGCAATCGACTTTGGACCTCTGGATGGGTGCATAGTATGCGCGTGCCATATTGCAGAGCTATGGAAGTTGTCTCGTGGCCCGCAGCCAGGAAGGTCATGATCTGATCAACTAGACCTTCTTCCGTGAAGTTGCCGCTTTCAAGAGCGACGGATATAATATCACCACTTGAGTCATCAATCTTCTTGGAAGAGAGTTCATATCGCTTCCGCTGAACAAGCAACCGAGAAATTTCGCGGATCTTTTGAGACGCAGCAGTGATTGTCCTTACATATGGCAGTGGTAAGTAGAAGAACAATTCCGGCCATGTCAAGAAGACGAAATTCCGAATGATTCTAGTAAAAGGACCTGGAGTAGTGAACATCTTTCGGTACTCTTCTCGGAGCTCATTTACTGACTCGAGATCATAGCCCATGCCAGCCAGTCCAATTATCTCCAAGGTTGCCCTTCCAGTATAGTCAGCAAATGAAATGATCTTTTCATCTGTAGGTAGGGGAGCTATGTCCTCGGCTATCCTTTCGGCCATCTCTACCGATTTCTGCCAGAAAATAGGGTAGAGCTCCTTGATATGGCGGAACGAGAATGCAGGGTTCAAGTTCTTCCGTTGGACCTTTTAAGAAATCGTCAGCTACAAAGGCTGGGGTAACAGGCGGCTGTAGCACCAGCGGGCATACCCTGTGCACATCTCCTTCCGCAAGGATGACACCAGTACCGGTAACCCAGCCTATAGATGCAACCAATGCGCGGGTCTTTGCAAAGTCATAAGCCCGATTGACCAGTACATCTGCCAGGGCCTTTGTTGATGTGACTAGCAGTCGCTCTCGGTTCAACATAAAGTAATAGCGAATGATCCCGTCATTTGGTACTTCTCTGGTCCATTTTGCACTTGGAGTACCTTGGGAAGATGCCTGTAGAATTTTGAAGTGTCCATTCCAAATGCTTCTTCCCTTTATAGCATTGTAAAAGTCAGGAAATTTATTATACGTTCATAATCAATAGGTTTAGCCAAGGATCATGGGCGGACTTACCGGTGGGACGGGCAGGTGTTTATATGGTGTGAAGAAGATAGGGTATAAAATGACAAGATACACTGCTCGGAGGGCAAGGTAAGCCGTGAAGAGAACTGGCAACGTCCATGCAAAGGACCCAGAAATGGAATACTTGGGGAAATAGGAGACTAGAAGAAACGTCAAGGCTACGGACAAACCAAGCCCAAGTAAAGTGGCCATCTTGACGTCTGTCGTTCCAAACCTAGCGGTTAGAGGTTGAGCAAAGCAGCCGACTCCTTGGTCCACACGGCCTTAGGAGGGGGGATATATTTTCATAGTTATAGTATAGGAGTCGAGCGGCTGAACAGGATCCCTGTGGCATCACGGCGTTCGGGAGATGAAACCCTCCGTCTGTGAACATCAAGTTAGTTGGTTGGTTGATGCCCGGGGGCAAGGATTTCAGCATTCGTATCAATAACGGGTTTCGGTAGATGTAAAGCTGAGCACATAGCCGCGGCTTCAAGGCTTTGATAACTGTTAAAGTAGTTGCTCGTGTATGAAGTAGCGACTTATCTAGCTAACTAGTTACTCTGTAACTCTGTAACAAGACGTTAGTTAGGGCCTTGGGTTTCTAGGCAGGCTGTGAGAAGCTTGTTCAAAACTCCAAGGGTTTCGTGTTTCTTCAGTCTGAATGGAAAGCGGTCCAGCAAACCCCCTCCGCCGCCATTCCAGGAGAATAAATTCCCTGCGGGCTATTGAAAAGCCAGTCAATTGCTGACTCGCAGCTCTTTTCGTCGCTGGATTTGACTTTTCAGTGTCAAAAAATATACAGAGCGCAGTAAGGGATCCGTATCTTGATACGTAAATGGGTCTATTATGAGCATCTTATTGGCTGTTATTGCTGAAATTTGGTATTATTTCTGTATGAAGCTAACGCCGGGATGAGTAAGCAGTATTATGTAACAACAAGTAGCTTAGATAAGCTGCTATCATCACATGACCAATGATGGTCGCGATAAATATACTCACGTGACTAATTAGTCATCATAAAAAATTCTTAACTTACATAAGCAGTAACAGCCACAGCCTTAACGGCGATAAACAACTTCAAAAGCCGCAACACAACAACACCCACAACCACTCGGATGGAGATGCGAGCGAAAAACAGCCCCTGAATAATATTTTTGCCCTATTATTGTGGCGCGAGCGATGAAGAATTGACGTGGAAAATGCTCATTTTGAAGTGGAAATGCTGGTACTGCCCAAGTTACGGTAATCAGGGACAACTCCACCATACAGCAACCTTTGCCTCAAGCTGCTCCATCAAAATGAGCCATTCTGAACAGTTCAGCTAAGTAAAGAAATCATGTAAGTTGATGGCAGTGAGCTTTTGGGTGCGGATGGCTGATGCTATCGACATGTTTGATATGAAGCAAGAGTACGGAGTACTGTGTATGCTAGACTGGTTGAACAGCAAACCTGAAAACCAAATTAGTTCACAGCTAAAGAGAAAAGGACGTGTTCTTGCTAGAAGCTGGCTTAACATCCGTCTGTCTTTTTATCAAGTGTTACATTCACCTGAGAAGATAATTTTTGTGACTTTTACTCTAAAACAGGAGGTTTTCATTGATGCCCAGAGGTTGAAACATGAGCATGTGGGGACTCGATTGAACACTGCCTTAAAGTGCCAATCAATGGACTGCTCTCCAAAGCCTTTTCAAGCTTTTATTAAAGCTGGGCTCACATTTGTGCTCGTTAGAGAGCTCTGACATTGATGACGCAGCTGGGTACCATCGAGGCCATACGATCACCCCACAACAGGAGCTTCCCACTGCCACGACTTCGGTCTTTCCGCCTTCTGATCAGTAGCCATGGATACTTATGGAGCTCGTATCATAGTTAAATCAGCTTGAACCTGCGACTGTCGCCAAGGCTCGATGTAACTAATGGTTATGAATATTCTGGAAAATGCTCATCTCCCCGAGTCATTTGTCTGCTCTCTGACCGAGGGGTGGCAAACTTGAAGATCCCAACCTCTCCCCGGGATATTAGCATTTGTTCAGCAGCCTCATGATCAATAGGGAGTGCATATATTCTACATATCACATCTGATCATCGTTGGATATTCGAAAGCTCAGGGTTATTCTGCCGTTCTTCTACCATGTTTTCCACCACGGTACAAGGCTCGTTCTGACGTACTCCGGAGGGGCTACCAAGACCGGTCAACTATTTTTGTGCCAAATCACTCCATCAAGACTCCGTATTTATAAAAAAAAAAAATACTTCCCATTGGCCAGGAATTAGCCGGAAATTAGTTGACTGGCAGAATCTGGGGATCGGCAGTTCTTAAAACTCCGAGCGCTAATCTCACAAGTCAGAGCCCTTCACCGTTCCGTTCGAGCGAGCACAGTCGCAACATGCGGCACAAGCGGAGTCGTTTGACTAGTTTCCACACTAAAGGTTCTCGAAACGAAACACGGGTTAGAGAACTGGTTCTCCATGTGGAAATACCCCATAAGGCACCATTGATTCTATTTTAATTTCACTGTACTGAATATTTTTCAGGGAGATTGATAGTGATCGTGGATGGTTGAACTGCTTCAACCATGCTAAATGTTCTCGACTTGGCCAAGTATTATGTACCTGGTTATACATTTGATCGCCTTGTTTTCCCCAGCATCATTAGCTCCTCGTCCTGCAGGCCTATGTATATGCTCTGCACGTTGATGCTCTCGTGTTCCATAGCTATCCCTGGCCAGTCCCCTGGCAATGTGGCCCTATCTACGCAACACGGTCTGGGCAAAGACGGGAAGTTGTGGGTCTTGCAGGAAATTCTCCGCATCGCGGCCCCTGACATTACTCTCTGGAGCATGGCAAGCGCCAGTATTTGGACGTTGTTCATCGTATCGCAGCAATCTGATCTGCGCTGCATTCTTCAAAGTTTCTATCTCCTTTGATGCGGCCTGCACCTAATGCAAGTAACGCAATATCCCCATCCCCACAACACGTTTTGAGATGGACATTCGCTGGCTTACCTTGTCATTCTCTTGTTCTTTGCTTCACACAGCAGGGTATACAGCCGTGTTATTCCTTGACGATCGGTTCCCTCAAGGTTCTTAATCACAGCGTCCATCCTGGATATACCTGGAGCGTACCTCGCAAGAAGCGTTTTGCCCGAGAAGCGGGGGGGTTCCAGCGTGCAATGTGTAGCAGATGACGCAAATATTGCCTGAAATATTGCCTGACTACCCTTAAGATACGATTCAGAGCTGATTATCATGAGGAATGCCGGGTTTTGCCGTACCCTTGGGCAGTCTATATCTAGGCCTCCCTCTCCCGCTTCAGATCTTTCTCTCTTTCATTCCATCCTCACCATCAACCCCAACCTTTCTTTCTCTTAACCCTCCTTAGTCGCCTGTCTTCCTGCATTATCCATCATGGGTTTCATTACCAAAGCCATCCCTATCGTCCTGGCGGCGTTGTCAACTGTCAATGGTGCTAGAATCCTTGAGGCCGGTCCTCATGCCGAGACCATCCCAAACAAGTACATTGTTGTTATGAAGAAGGATGTTTCCGAAGAAGCTTTCAGCGCTCATACAACTTGGCTTAGCCAAACCCTCAATAGCCGCCTAATGCGCCGCGCCGGCAGCTCCAAGCCCATGGCTGGAATGCAAGACAAGTACTCCCTTGGAAATGTCTTCAGGGCCTACTCTGGCGAGTTCGATGAGGCGATGATTAAAGATATTTCCGGCCACGATGATGTATGAGAGATTTCTCAACCCTGAAAGCATTTAATGCCTGAAATTAGAAACGGCAGTAACTAACAGTTATTTAATAGGTCGACTTCATTGAGCCCGACTTTGTTGTGAGGACCACCACTAACGGCACTAACCTCACCCACCAGGACAACGTCCCCTCTTGGGGACTTGCCCGCGTTGGCTCTAAGCAGGCTGGTGGCACAACCTACTACTATGATCCCTCCGCTGGCAAGGGTGTTAGGGCCTATATCATCGATACTGGTATCGATACCGACCATAAAGATTTCGGAGGTCGTGCTAAGTGGGGTAAGAACTTTGCTGATGACATGGATCAGGACTGCAATGGTCATGGAACCCATGTTGCTGGAACTGTTGGTGGAACGCAATACGGACTTGCTAAGAGTGTCTCCCTCATTGCTGTCAAGGTCCTTGACTGTGAGGGCTCCGGATCCAACTCTGGTGTCATCAAGGGTATGGAATGGGCCATGAGGGACGCTTCTGGTGGTGGCAATGGCACCGCTAAGGCTGCTGGAAAGACTGTTATGAACATGTCCCTCGGTGGACCTCGCTCTGAAGCCACCAACCAGGCTGCTAAGGCCATTTCTGATGCTGGTATCTTCTTGGCTGTCGCTGCTGGTAACGAAAACGTAAGTTGCAAACCCCAACCTCTTACACATAGATCCGTCAGTCTAACTAGAAATGTTATAGATGGACGCCCAGCACTCTTCTCCTGCCTCTGAGCCATCCGTCTGCACTGTCGCTGCCTCCACTAAGGATGATGGCAAGGCTAGCTTCTCCAACTATGGCTCTGCCGGTAAGTGTTCTTTGTTTACCGCTGATATGACATTGAACTGAAGTTAACAATCTCTTTATAGTCGACGTCTATGCCCCAGGAAAGGATATCACCTCCCTTAAGCCAGGCGGCAGCACTGATACTCTCTCTGGTACTTCCATGGCTTCTCCTCACGTTTGCGGTCTCGGTGCCTACCTCATCGGATTGGGCAAGCAAGGTGGCCCTGGTCTCTGTGACACCATCAAGGAGATGGCCAATGATGCTATCCAGAGCCCTGGTGAGGACACCACCAGCAAGCTTATCTACAACGGCAGCGGCAAATAAATTGGTGCACTCCACCATCACAAACCTGCCTCCGAACCTCAAGTCTCTTGATTGCATCAAGATAGGCGACAATCCTTACTTGAAAAAAATATGTGGGCTGCACGATTGGAACTTGCTGGCAATCACCAATAGTTACCATTCGCCCATTATGGCTGTGCCATACTCCTTTTATTCTGGATATATTTGACATACATATATATGTACAGACGAATATAAATTATATATATAGGCAAAAGATTTTCGGGCTACCCAATAGTTGAATCTTTCCCTAGTAGTATATTCTCTATTCAACCCAATGTCTCCATGCAAGACAGCCTGTCTTGGGCTAGATGCTATCTACCTGGTTTTTTCCTGCTTTCGATGTT